GGGGGGGCATACGAGCTCAAAACCTTAGAGGGCAAACAAGTACCCCGAGCGTGGAACATCGTCAACTTAAGGCGATACTACCTATAGACCACCAAGCGAAGTGGACAAAATCGCTATCAGAGCCTAAGAGCTAGGATGTCGAGCTAACAAAGTGGTGACAACGAACTAATAGGGACATCGGCATCTCAGAGACTAAGTATTAACACCAAAACAAGCCGCGCGTGTGCAATAACCCGGGCAAGAAACAGATCGGGCATATGGTCAGTTCGGCAAATATGGTCAGTTCGGGAGAAAAAATAACCAACACTTAACCAAAAGAGTCATTTCATTTCAAAATAAGGAAGTGCACATTTCGAACAAAAAAAAATACATATCGAGCTCACAGGCCCGAAGGTGCTTATTCTTCATCAAAAGGCACTTTGACAACACCCGAAGGTCCTGCCTCGCCCTCAGAATCTGGCTCACCATCAGCGGCGTCGGTCATCTCCTGAGTAATGCGCGAGGTGGATATCGCATTAATATCAAGCTTAGGGTATGTATTCTGGATCATCCACTGGCTTAGTTTGAAGCCCTTTCTGTACGAGTCCACCATCCGGTCATCAAAGTGTGGCGAGGCGATGTACTCATCAACGACCTTCTTCTTGGCGTCCTCAATGCCTTGAGAAAAAATCTGCGTCCTCTCCCTGATATCCTCTTGAAGATATTCAACCTGATGCTGCAAGTCTAGCCTCAAGTCCACCATATGCTTCACCACAACTCCCATGGCCTCAGCATCTCTTTGAGACCTCGCCTGCCTGGCCTGTGCAGCTCGAGCAGCCGCCTCAGCAGCTCGGGAAGCTGCCTCGGCAGCACGGAAAGCCTCTTCGGCAGCTCGTGCCTGCCTCGAGCTCCTTTCCACTTGGGCCGCCAAGGCATGGATTGAAGAATTCACCTACCAAAAGGGAAGAACAAAATGATCAAACGAACGACAGCAAGAAGGATAAAAGCAAAGAGTCGGACAAGAAATCTGACTTACCACCATGACATGAGTGGCAACACGACAAGCTACCTGGTTCAAAGGAAGCTCGGACCATGCTGCGACCTCCTCAGGATAGATGGCCTCCCTACTCTTCTGCAGAGTGTGGTTCGGTGACAACTCACTCCTGAACTCGCCTTGGGCCCCCGAGCCTAAGGGCCCAGCTCGCGTGTAGGCGGACTCAGAGTAAGCAGGAGCCCCCGTGTATGTAGTTTCGGCATAAAGAGCCCCTGCTGCCTCATGGACTAGAGGGGCCATCTCGGGCTCCTTAGGCGGATCCACAGACGGGTAGTTTGGTACTTCGGGCTCCGCGTCTCAAGGCACCTCGACACGAGTTCGTTTGGCGACTCGTTGGAAAAAGCGAAAGAACAAAGCAAAACAAAAGACAAACCTGAGTAAGGAACCTACCCGAACTCAAACCGGCCTCAATGAGCTTGGCCTCCGATAGATAATGATGGCATTTTAGCCCAAGCCGTGCCCATTGCCGGAGGCCCTTCGCCGTCTCTTTATCAAGCGTAACACCGGAGTCAGGGGCGGCCATTCCTTACCCGGTTTAAAACGGCCACCCCAATACACTTCGCACCCTGAAGTAGCCCCGCTTCCACGCCGGGACCTTGTTGGGAAGTTCATGTAAAAGCTTAAAACCCGGGCGAGGAGACAGGTAATACGCCCGCCTATGCCCGGGAAGGGGACCCGCTTGCTTCTTAAGCATTAGGATGGAAGAGAAGATCTCCAAGTCTAAAGGAAAGCCCTATTTGCAAAATAGGGAGATTGTCCCCACCAAGTTACGAATGGAGTTCGGGTGAAGCTGGCCGACAGTAACGCCGAAGTGGTTCATGACCTCGACAAGGAGGGGGTGAAAAGG